TTTTGACACTTTTTAGTTCTGTGTTTTAAAATTTTTTTAAAATCTTTTTTTGACACTTTTTAGTTCTGTGTTTTAAAATTTATTTAAAATCTTTTTTTGCCAATTTTTAGTTCTGTGTTTTAAAATTTTTTTAAAATCTTTTTTTGCCACTTATCTATTTTATCTTTCATAAAATTATAATTACATATGCATTTTGGAGGAAAATATTGAATGATTTTATGCCAATTAGACTAATTAATTAGTCTAATTAATTACCAATTTACTAATTAAGTCTAATTAATTAGACTAATTAATTAAAAAAGTATTTTTTAGTAATTAATTGTTAATTAATTAAAAAAAATAATTAATTACTAGTAATTAGTTATGTCAATTTTGCACTTTTCGATGATAATTCAACTTTCAAAATTACGTCACAAAATTACGTTACGGAAATCACACGTGTAATTTTTGATTGTATGAAAGACAAAAATGCATTTATCTTCATCGATTTGCTTTCCATTTCAACGATTACTGTAACTTGATAACACAAGCAATGGGTACGGGTAAATGGGTAGGGGCAAAATGGGTAGGGCAATGGGCGGAAGTTTGTTGATGTGTTGAAGCAGTGTGCAAGGTGGTTGTTTTGTTTATCATTGCTGAATTAATTTTTTAATTCCTCGTTTGAATTAATCATTGTTACGATACATTTATTTTCCTATTTTAGTTAACCTGTTCTTTTTTTAAGTTTATTAAATTTTTCAAAAAATCAAAAAAAAAAATTTTTCACGTAAAATACCTGTATTACGTGATACGTGATTTAATTATAAGGTTGAGAAATAAAAAGAGTAATACTTAGTTTTATATCCATGTAGAGTAGCAATTTATATTATATTTAAATATAATCAATTTATAATTATTTTTTTTTCAATTTGAGACAATTTGTAAAAATGTCATTGAATTTTGTCACCTGAAAAAATGTCATTGAACTTTGTCACCTGAAAAAATGACATTGAACTTTGTCACCTGAAAAAAATGACATTGAATTTTGTCACCTGAAAAAATGACATTGAACTTTGTCACCTGAAAAAAATGACATTGAATTTTGTCACCTGAAAAAATGACATTGAACTTTGTCACCTGAAAAAAATGACTTTGAATTTTGTCACCTTTTTTAAAGCTAATTTTTTGGTTAAATAATTTGCATCCTATATAGAACCGTTTTAAATAGATAGATAGAGAGAGAGAGAGAGGGAGAGGGAGAGAGAGAGGGAGAGAGAGAGAGAAGATCAAAAATGGAGTAAATAATAAATTTTCTAAGAATTGAACTTTGTCACCTGAAAAAATGACTTTGAATTTTGTCACCTTTTTTTAAAGCTAATTTTCTGGTTAAATAATTTACACCCTATATAAAACCGTTTTAAATAGATAGATAAAGAGAGAGAGAGAGAGAGAGAGAGAGAGAGAGAGAGGGAGAGAAGATCAAAAATAGAGTAAATAATAAATAAATTTTCTAAGAGCAAAAAAAAAAAAAATTTATTAGCTAACGATTGATCATATTCTGATCTAATCAATAAGTAATTGTGAACAATATTTTTTCAAATGTTTACAATGATATTTTCAATTTCCCTAAAAAAAAAATTCTATTTGAAATTGCTTATAACCTTTGAACTTCGAATTGCAGTAAATTTTATCGTTCATTTCAAATTTGTTTTGGATATAAAAGTTTTTTGACAACTGATTAATTTGCTATATGTGAAGCATTGGTTTGAAAAAAGTTAAAATTTAAAAACCTATTTAAAATTGCTTATAACCTTTGAACTTCGAAATTAAAAAAATATTAAAAATACAATATCAAAATTAGAGTTTTTTTGTTTTTTAATTTAAATTTAACCAACTTGGTGACAACAAAAGATGAATGAATTTTCAAATTTTAATATTTAACTATGATAGTACTGAATTTCTTTCCTTGAAGCATTGATTTGAAAAAAAAAGTTGAAATTTTAGGATTTTTTTTTTTGAAAGCAATTTGATTTGATCGATTATATCATTGAATTTAATTTGAAGAAAGATATAAGTTTATAATTAATTGATCTTTTTATAATTTAAAGTTTTCTTAATTTAATTTAAATTTAATTAGAAAAAAAGATATAAATTTGAATTTGAAGAAAGATATAAGTTTATAATTAATTAATCTTTTTATAATTTTAAGTTTTTCTTAATTTAATTTAAATTTAATTAGAAAAAAAGACATAATTTTTAATTTGAAGAAAGATATAAGTTTATAATTAATTGATCTTTTTATAATTTTAAGTTTTTCTTAATTTAATTTAAGTTTAATTAGAAAAAAAGATATAAATTTGAATTTGAGGAAAGATGTAAGTTTATAATTAATTAATCTTTTTATAATTTTAAGTTTTTCTTAATTTAATTTAAATTTAATTAGAAAAAAAGACATAATTTTTAATTTGAAGAAAGATATAAGTTTATAATTAATTGATCTTTTTATAATTTAAAGTTTTTCCTCATTTACTTTAAGTTTATCAAAGTAATTGTAATTTATTTATTGAATAGCATATTGTTTTTCATTAATTGTATTTTTTTAAATATATTTTTTTCTATATTTTTAAAAAAAAATTTAAATATATATTGTTTTTCATTAATTATATTTAAATATTCTAGTATTAATTTAATTTTTATTGTATTTTTTTTATTAAAATATATTGATAAACTGTTAATTTTATTTAGCTATTATTTAATTATCAATTTAATTGTTATTGATTAATCTTACTTAAAATATTGATCCAATCGAGAAGATTGTTTATAATTGTTTTTAAAATGCTACAAATTATTAGTAATGTCTAAATTTGAACGCTACTGGTATTTTGCATTTAAAAATAATCAAAATTGCTTTTTTAAAAAATGTCAATTTGCGCTTTTAGGGAATGTTAATTAGCGCCCGGTCTCTATTTAATGACTTTGTTTTTTTTTTCTCTCATTTTCTTCCTTTTTTTTTTTGTTTAAAAATTACAGGTGGTTGAATTTTTGTTCGAGAAGAGAATGCCAGAAGTAAATTTAAACAAAAGTTAATTTATTGTTGAGATCAAAATTTTTTCCAAATTAGACATTAAAAAATACATATTATCTGAGTTTTTGGTTTTGAATTCTCGATAAACTAATTCTCGACAAACTATTTTTTAGACTGTATTTCAAATTTTTTTATAAATAACTAACTTTTGATTACTTTTAAATTACTTTTTTAAAATATTTAACTGTTCCATCATCTTCCTCATTTCATTTATTTTATATATTACTTAATTCTTTGTTTTGTTTACTCAAATGAATAATTTTAAATATTTTCGTTTTTTCTTTTTAAAAAATAATATTTTATAATATTTAATTTTTCGTTTTTCTTTTTTTTTTTTAAAAAAAAATCTTTTTTGCATTTTTTATAACTTATTTTAACTTTTTGAATTTTTTTTCCTTTTTTTTTAAAATTTATTTTCCATTGTTAATTCATTTTTCTTTCTCATTTGCATCGTTTTTTTATTTTTTATTTTTTAAATGCTTTTTTGTTTACTTTACATTTTGTATGCTTTTTTGGTTTATTTAAATTATTTAAATATTTTTTTTTTTTTTTTAGCAATCTTTTGATTACTTTGCTTGTCTTACATACTGTTTATCTCACTTTAATGTTTATATATAAATTTTTTTTATTATTAACTTTCTTATGTCACTTTTTGTCATTTAAGCTTGTCATTGCTTTCCTGTGTTTTTAATTTATTTTGTTTTGTTGTTTTTTTTTTCACTTTTAAATAAATAAATAAAAACAAATGAATAAATAAATAAGCAGACAATTAGTTGAAAAAATGAATAACATAAATAAATAAATAAATAAATAATTATTTATATTATTTTTTTAATGTAATATTTATGTAATATTTTTATTTTTTTTATGTAATATTTTTTTTAATGTTATTTATAAATAATAAATAAATAATTATTTGTATTATTTATGTAGTATTTAAGTGAAATAAACAGTAAATAAATAAATATAGTAAATAAGTAGATAACAAATAATATAATATAAGTAAATAATAAATAAATATAATATAAATAAGCAAATAAAAAAAATATTATAACATGATTAAATAATAAATAAATAAATAATTATATGTATTGTTTATGCAATATTTGAGCGAAATAAATAATAAATAAATAAATATGATAAATAAATGAATAAATAATAAATAATATGACATAAATAAACAATAAATAAAGAAATACATATATTATTTATGCAATATTTAAGTGAAATAAATAATAAATAAATAAATAATAAATAATATAACATAAATAAATAATGAAGAAATAAATAATTATATGTATTATTTATGCAATATTTAAGTGAAATAAATAATAAATAATACAACATAAATAAATAATAAATAAATGAATAATTTTATGTGTTATTTATGCAACATTTAAGTGAAATAAACAATAAATAAATAAATAATAAATAATATAACATAAATAAATAATAAATAAATATATGTATTATTTATGCAATATTTATTTTTTTTCTCCTCTTATTTTGGTTTTTTTTTAAAAAAAAAAATTTTGGTATTTTTTTTTTTTTTGAAGTCATTTTTTGAATGCTAACAAATTAATTCTGTAAATTCTAACTGCTTAAATATAATCATAAAAGTATGTTTAAAAGTAATTTTTAATTTAAAAGTAAAAGTAATTCTCATTTTTTTTTGCAAAAATTCTGAGCAAATTTTTTCAAAATTAAATTGATTAAAATTTGATAATTTTATTGATAACATTAAATGATTGCTATTTGCTAAATAATTAATAATAAAAGTAAGTATAAGTAATTAACTTAGATGTAAGCATTTATTAGGTATAATAACTAAATTATATTTCTCATAAAAAAAAAAAAAGAAATTCTGAATAGCTGATAAGATGCATCTAAAGTGTTCCTTATCAGTTATTATCAGTCATTTCGTTTTGCAAGCAATATGTCTGTTCAATCAGAGTAAGTTTTGCTTATTTCCTACTTTTTTCATTTAGTTTCTTTAATAAGTGATAATCAATTTTACATATAATTTATGCAATTTTGTTCTTTTTCAATTTTTTGATAAAAAAAAAAAATTTAAAAATTTAAAATTTGAATTAATTTATAAATGGATTAAAAGTGATAATTAAAAGTTACTATTAAGTTAGATATATATATGTAACTGATAGCAATTTTTTGATAAAAAAAAATTTTTTAAAATTTAAAATTTGAAATAGTTTTTTAAAAGTTTTTTGAATAGTATGATAGTTTGATAAATAATTAAAATTTGATAGTGTGTTAACAAGTCATTTGTTTAATGCAAGAAAACTATAACAAATTTTAAAATTTTTAAAATAATCATAATTAAATTTTATAACTTTAAAAAAAATTTGAAATAGTTTGTAAATGAATCAAAATTGATAATTAAAAGTTATTTGTTGAGTTAGATGTATATATATGTAATTAATAGCAATTTTTCGTTTCAATTTTTTGATAAGAAAAATTTTTAAAAATTTAAAATTTGAAATAAAGAATTGATAATTAAAAGTTATTTGTTGAATTAAGTATATATGTAACTGATAGCAATTTTTTGATAAGAAAAATTTTTAAAATTTGAAATGGTTTTTTTAAAAGTTTTTAAATTTGAAATGGTTTTTTTAAAAGTTTTGCAATACTATGATAGTTTGATAAATAAATAAAATTTGATAGTGTTAACAAATCACTATAATCATAATTAAATTTTATAACTTTAAAAAAATTTGAAATAGTTTGTAAATGAATTAAAATTGATAATTAAAAGTTATTTGTTGAGTTAATAGATTATTTTATTGCAATTTTTAAACAATTAATAAATAAATAAAAAAAAAAAAACTTATTCAAATTAAAGTAATAAATATATTTCTTAATCTTTTGCAATTTAACAATTAATTAAATTTCTATTTGATATTTTAACAAATTAAAAATGACAAATAATTATTATAAACTTTTTAATAGTGAATAAATTTTTGAAAAAAAAAAAATAGAAAAAGAAAAAAATGGCATTCAATTTTAATGAATTTTTTTTTAAATATACAACTTTTCATGGATTTCTAAAGCAAAACATTTCCAATTCTAATTTTAATTAAAATTTTAATTAATTTAATTTTAATTAATTTATTTAATTTTTTAAAAAATTAATTTCAGAATCATTACGATGAGCATTTCATGTAATCAATAATGAATAATCATTTGTGCTATATAATTATTTGATTTTAATTGATCAAAAGTTTTATTAAAATCAGAAAAAAAAAAAGTAATTTTTGATTCAAATTTCAAATTCAATTCCTATTTGATAGCAAAATATTTTTTAATTCAAATTTCAAATTCAATTCCTATTTGATAGCGAAGTAATTTCTGATTCAAATTTCAAATTCAGTTCCTATTTGATAACGAAGTAATTTCTGGTTCAAATTTCAATTTCAATTCCCATTTGATAGCAAAGTAATTTTTGGTTCAAATTTCAAATTCAATTCCTATTTGATAACATTTTTTTATTGATAAATATAATTTTTAAATTATATGAAGGAAGAAGAAAAAAAAAGGGAAATTAAAAAATTGATTGTGTCTAATTTAATATTTTAAATGTTTAATTGAACTGAATGCATAATTAAATATTTGTTGATAATAATAATTAAAAATTTCAAATTATAATTTTATTTTAATTTTAATATTTGTATATTTTAGAAATGGAAAAATTACAATTTGGATTGAAAGTGGTGATAAAAAGGCAGAAATTTACGCTAAAACAGCATGTTGTGATACTAATAGTACGCTAGATGGAAGTAAGCATATTGTTTTCCTTTTATTTATTTATTTGTTTATTTGTTTATTTATTTATTTATTTTTTTAAATATTTTAGAAGGCGAATACTTATATAAAACACAAAAGTATAAATGTAATCATTTGAAATATTTATTCATTTCCAACTTATTTGTTTATTAAATTGATTCCTATGATTAAATTTATTGTTTAACTGGAATTTCAAATTTATTAGTATTAAAAAAAAAAAATAAAATTATGATTAAATTATTTTTTTAGTCGGAATTTCAAATTTATTTGCGTCAAAAAAAAAAAGTTATAATTAAATTTATTGTTTAACTGGAATTTCAATTGTAACTGAAATTTCAAATTTATTTGTATTAAAAAAAAATCATAATTAAAGTTATTGTTTGACTAGAATTTCAAATTTATTTATATTAAAAAAAAAAACTATAATTAAATTAATTTTTTAATCGGAATTTCAAATTTATTTGTGTTGAAAAAAAATTATAATTAAATTAATTTTTTAATCGAAATTTCAAATTTATTTGTATTGATAAAAAAATTATAATTAAATTAATTGTTTATCAGACTTTTTTTTGGCTAATATTTGACATTTTTTTTTTTCTGATTATTTGACAATTTAGCTACTAATTGACCATTTTTAAGACTTTTTTGTAAAATTTTTTTATGAATTTAATTAAAAATTATAATTTTAAAATAAAATTTTTAATAATTTTATTATTAAAAATAAATTTAATTCAAAAAAATAAAAATAAAAATAAATAAAATTACAGGTATTACAGTTGCTAATGAGCTATCGCTTTATGCTGGAAATAAAAGTCTTCCATTAATTACGGCATTTTTTAAAAGTTTTAATGTTCAAAATGTTAATGACAATAATTATGTACGAAAAAAGGTATGAAATTTTTACATTTTATTTTTTAATATAATTTTTTTGTTTTTTTAGGAACAAAATTTATTTTGAAAAATTTGAGTAAAATTTTTGAAAAAAAAAATGAAATAATTAGAAATGATTTATTAAATTAATCTAATGATAGATCAAAATAAAAATGATATTTGCATATATTAGACAGATAATTTTAAAAGATAAATAATATTAATAATAAACATTAAAAACAACAACAACAACAGAAAAGGTTTTAATTTCTATTAATTATATAATTAATTATTAGTAAAAAAATTTAATTTGCAAAAAAATTTTCGAAATACTAGGAAAATTCTTGAAAAATTCTCAAAATTCTTGAAATTATTAATAAAAGAATTTAATTTTTAAAAAAAATTCTCGAAATTCTCGAAAAATTCTCAAAATTATTAATAAAAGAATTTAATTTGTAAACAAATTCTCGAAATTCTTGAAATTATTAATGAAAAAAATCTAATTTCTAAAGAAATTCTTGAAATTCTTGAAATTATTAATTAAAGAATTTAATTTCTAAAGAAATTTTCGAAATTATTAATTAAAGAATTTAATTTCTAAAAAAAATTCGAAATTATTAATGAAAAAATTTAATTTCTAAAAAAATCTCGAAAATTTAGCTTCGAGAATTTAGTTTCTATTAGTTATATAATTAATTAATTATTAATAAAAGATCGATTAGTATATTAAGATTAATTAATGGTAGATTTAAGATCAAATTAATGAAAGAGATGAAAAATTATTTGTTTACATCAAATCCATTCTCACAAAATTAAGATCAAACCTTTTCAGCAATATTATTTTGATACCTGAAATAATCCAATTTAAAATTAAAAGAAATAATTTAAAACAAAAAAAAAATATTAGTAATATTATATTATATTTTATTATCACTGAACTGATATGATAATGATAATATTAGTATTATAATAATAAAATTCAATTTTATCTACCAATATGTGTTCAACAAAATATTTTGAAAAAATAATAAAAAATGTTCAAACTGATAATAATAATATGATAATATGATATAATTTATTAATTAAGTTTATATATTCTGAATTTTATTTTCATTGTTAATTTTACCAATTTATTGTACCAAATAAAATGAAATTATTTCATCAAATTTTAATTACTTTAAATTTGATTATAAAATACTTTGGTAATTACTGTACCTAACAAATAAAAAAGGTACTTACTGTACCTGACGAATAAGAAAGGTACTTACTGTATCTAGCTAATAAAAAGCGTACTTACTGTACCTAGAGAATAAAAAAGGTTCCTACTGTACCTAACGAATAAGAAAGGTGCTTACTGTACCCAACAAGTTAAAAAGGTACTTACTGTAACTTGCGAATAAAAAAGGTACCTACTGTACCTAACGAATAAAAAAGGTACTTACTGTACCTAACGAATAAAAAGTTACCTACTGTACCTAACGAATAAGAAAGGTACTTACTGTACCCAACAAGTTAAAAAGGTACTTACTGTAACTTGCGAATAAAAAAGGTACTTACTGTACCTAACGAATAAAAAAGGTACTTACTGTACCTAACGAATAAAAAGTTACCTACTGTACCTAACGAATAAGAAAGGTACTTACTGTACCCAACAAGTTAAAAAGGTACTTACTGCAACTTGCGAATAAAAAGGTACTTACTGTACCTAACGAATAAAAAAGATACCTACTGTATCTGACGAATGAAAAAGGTACCTACTGTATCTGACGAATGAAAAAGGTACCTACTGTATCTGACGAATGAAAAAGGTACCTACTGTCCTAACGAATAAAAAAATATTTTATAATAAAATTTAAATATCAAAACAAAGTCTGAAAAAAAAAATGAAAAAACGAATCAAATTTTATCAAATTCTCTTAAAACATATTGTTATTACTATGTAAAATTATAATTTAAATTAAAATTATTTTATTAAGGCAAATCTTGGTACCATTTTGGGTGTATATTTACCAACCATACAGCACATTTTTGGTGCAATTATGTTCCTACGACTATTTTGGATTGTTGGTATTATGGGTATTGGCCAATGCATTACAATGACATTTCTATGCATGTTTTGTGTAAGTATTATTTTAATAATATTAATTTATAAATTTAGATAAAAATAAAAATAAATTTAAAAAAAATGGAAAATTTAAATATTACAAAAATTGCACATTTTCCAACGTTTTTTTTTGGAAAAAAAACAATTTATTATAATAAAAAATAAATTTTAAATTAATTTTAATTTGAAAAATTTAATTATAAATTTGGATAAATTAAAGAAATGAAAAATTTAAATATTACAAAAATTGCATAATTTCCAACGTTTTTTTTTTTGGAAAAAAAAAACCAATTTATTATAATAAAAAATAAATTTTAAATTAATTTTAATTTGAAAAATTTAATTATAAATTTAGATGAATTAAAAAAATGAAAAATTTAAATATTGCAAAAATTGCATATCTTCAACTTTTCTCTTTTTTTTTTAGAACCAATTTATTGAGATTAAAAAAAAAATTTTCAAATTAATTTTAATTTAAAAAATTTCTTTAATTTATTTTTCTCCTTTACTATTAATCATAGTAATAAAATGAAAAAATGAATTAGTTGCAAATTAAAATTTTTTTTTTATAATTTGAAATTTATCAAATAATTTAAATTTCTTTTTTTTCTCATTTTTAAAATATTTTAAATTGATATTTTAATTAAATACATTTATACATTTAATTTCATACATTTTTAGACCTTTTTAACATCGATCAGTTTGAGTGCTGTTGCAACCAATGGTGTTATTGAAACCGGTGGTACCTATTATATGATTTCACGAAATTTGGGACCTGAATTTGGTACCGCTGTTGGTATATTATTTTATTTGGGTAATGCATGTGCATGCGCTATGTATATTGTTGCAGCAGTTGAAGTATTTCTTGTAAGTTTTTAAAAAAAAAAAAATAATTTTAAAAATAATTTTACTTCTTGCTAAAAGTTTTACTTCAAATACAATTTATTTAATTAATTAAAAAATTATTTAATCAAATTTGCAATTTATTTAATTTTATTCTTTTTTTTAATTTCATTTAAAAACAACAATTTCAGCTTGTAAATTTAAAATATTGTAAATTAAAAATGTAAATTTAAAATAATTTTGCTTCTTGCAAAAGTTTTACTTCAAATATGATTTATTAAGTTTGATTAATTAATTAAAAAATTAATTAATCAAATTTGCAATTTATTTAAATTTTTTCTTTTTTTTTTTTTTAAAATTATTTTTATTTAAAATTATAATTTTAGCTATATATAGCACCAAATATGACAATTGGTGGTCAAGAGATACACGATGATACTGGTTAATTTCTTATTATAATTTCTAATTGTGTATTCAATTTCAAATTTTATTTTTGTATATGTGTTATTCCAACATTTTAATGAAAATGTAAAAAATATTTTTGTATTTAAAATGGTATAAATTAATGAAATATTAAATTTATTATTTTCAGCAAATAATAATTTTTCGATTAGAAATTTCTAATTGTGTATTCAATTTCAAATTTTATTTTTGTATATGTGTTATTCTAATATTTTAATGAAAATATAAAAGATATTTTTGTATTTAAAATGGTATAAATTAATGAAATATTGAATTTATTATTTTCAGTAAATAATTTTTTGATTAGAAAAGGAAATTTTTGAAATAAATTTTTTTTTTTTGCTAAATTTTAGGTTTAATTGGAATGATGTCAAATAATTATCGTTTTTATGGTACTATCATTTTATTATTAATATTTGCTGTTGTTGCACTTGGCGTTCGATTTGTACAATTCTTTGCACCGGTTAATAATTTCCATTTATTTAATTAATTAAAATTTAATTAAAAATTTAATCCATCGATAGAAATTATTTCAAAAAAAATTGGAAATGTTATTACTATTATTTAGATTTGATCTAATTATTATTTAAATTTCATTCATATTACAATCATTCTCTTTTCTTTTTTTTTTAAATTTATTCACTTGAAAAAAAAAGTAAAACACAATTTTTCAATTACTTTATATTTTGAAATTAAAAATAGGAAAAAAGAATTAAAAATTTTTAAAATGCTTAAATAATTTTCAAATATTAAATACTTACATATGTTAATTCTTTAATAGTAATTTGAGTGAAAAATTTAATCTAATTTTTGTTTCTTTTTCATTTTAGATTTTTTTAGATTTGATCTAATTATTATTTAGATTTCATTCATATTTCAATCATTTTTTTTTTAAATTTATTCACAAAACAAAAACAAAAAATAATTAATTCTTTATAACAATAATAATTAAAATCATAATAGTTAATTCTTCAAACAGTAATTTGAGTAAAAAACAGAACAAAAACATAATAATTAATTCTTTATAATAATAATTAAAAGCATAATAGTTAATTCTTTATCTTTATAATAATAATTAAAAACATAATAATTAATTCTTTATAACAATAATTAAAAACACAATAGTTAATTCCTTAATAGTAATTTGAGTAAAAAACAAAACAAAAATATAATAATTAATTCTTTACAATAATAATAATAATTAAAAACATAATAATTAATTCTTTATAATAATAATTAAAAGCATAACAGTTAATTCTTTATCTTTATAACAATAAATAAAAACATAATAATTAATTCTTTTACAATAATAATAATTAAAAACATAATAATTAATTCTTTACAGCAATAATATTAATTAAAAACATAATAGTTAATTCTTTTCTCTTTATAACAATAATTAAAAACACAATAGTTAATTCTTTACAACAATACTAATTAAAAACATAATAATTAATTCTTTTACAATAATAATAATTGAAAACACAATAGTTAATTCTTTACAACAATACTAATTAAAAACATAATAATTAATTCTTTTACAATAATAATAATTGAAAACACAATAGTTAATTCTTTACAACAATACTAATTAAAAACATAATAATTAATTCTTTTACAATAATAATAATTAAAAACATAATAATTAATTCTTTACAATAATAATAATTGAAAACATAATAATTAATTCTTTTACAATAATAATAATTAAAAAACATAACAGTTAATTCTTAAATACTAATTTGAATTAAAATTAAATTTAATTTTTGTTTCTTTCTTTCTTCTCATTTTAGATTTCTCTAGTCTGTGTGCTACTCTCGATAGCAGCTATCTTTGCTGGTGTCATCGAGAAAAGTGTCACATCAAGCAATCATCGAGTGTGCTATCTAAATAATCATTTATTACATTCAAATGCATATACATCAATTCAAAGTATCACAAACAATAACAATAATAACAATAACAATAATCTTTGCTCTTATTGCAATTTTAATAATTCAAAACTTTTTGATGCAATTTGTCGCAATAATAATAATAATTTCTCGTCGCTAAATTCATGCGACAATTATACGTTAACATGCGAAAAAGTTTTTGTTGGTATACAAAGTGGTGCTTTTCTTGGTTTGTTTATATTTATTTATTTGTTTATTTATTTTTGTTAATTTTATTTAAAATACTTTATTAAGTATTTTTTTAATACTTTTTTTTTATTAATTAAATTTTTTTTTTCTAAAATTATTAATTTGAATATTTTTGTTAATTTATTTAATTTTAATATTTGATTGTCATTTTATTTTTAATTATTTAATTTGTTTATTAATATTAAGCATTTTAAATATTTTTTTTTTATTAATTAAAATTTTTTTTTTAAAATTATTAATTCGAATATTTTTGCTAATTTATTTAATGTTTTATTGTCATTTTTATTTTTAATTACTTATTATTATTAAGCATTTTTCTATTATTTTTTTTATTAATTAATTTTTTTTTAATTATTAATTCGAATATTTTTGTTAATTTATTTAATGTCTTATTGTCATTTTTATTTCTAATTACTTATTATTATTATATTTATTTATTTATTTTATTAATTTTATTTAAAATACTTCATTAAGCATTTCAAATATTTTTTTTATTAATTAAATATTTTTTATTATTAATTCAAATATTTTTGTTAATTTATTTAATAATTCATTGTTATTTTATTTTTAATTACTTAATTACTTATTATCATCAAATGTTTTCTATTATTTTTTATTTATTAATTAAATATTTTTTATTATCAATTCTAATATTTTTGTTAATTTATTTAATTTTAATATTTTACCGTCATTTTATTTCAAATTACTTAATTACTTATTATCATTAAGCATTTCTGATATTTTTTTAATTAATTAAACAATTTATTCAATATTTCATTGTCATTTTTTGTTTTTAATTACTTCTCATTTCTTTGTTTTTTTTTTAATATAATTCATTTTAGCATATCTCAGTAAATCTGAGTAAAACTAAAAATTACTTTTTATTACTTTTTTATAAAATTATTATTTGCTAGGAATTAAATTTAATATTTAAAAATTTTTTTTTTTTAGAAAATTTTGGTAGTCATTATATGAAGGAAGGTGAAGTAGCACCAAAACAATCTGTCAATAACAAAAAATTGGAAATTTTTCAAGTAACAAACATATTTTTTTGTTTTTTTAATTTGTAAAATTAAATTAATTAATTTTATTATCCAATTTAATATTAAAAAATTTTGAATTAAAATGAAAAAAAAAAGGGAAAGAAACAATAAGTAATAAATTTTTGAGGAAAAATATTATTAATAAATTTATTTATTGAAAATTAAAAAATTTTTCTGATCTTTAAATTTTGTTAATTTCAATTAATAATCCAATTTTATATGTTATAGAAGAAAACAAACAAAAAAAGAAAGAATGAAATATTAAAATATTTTTTCAGAAAAAACATCTAAATTAAATTATCGCAATATGCTTCTAATTTTTGTTTATCTAAGCCACTTTTTTTTTTTTTTCTAAAAAGGATATTTTATAAGTTAGAGTTATAAGTTTATAAGTTAAAGTTATAAGTTTATAAGTTATAAGTTAGAACAAATTTTTTTATCAATTTCTTATTGTACTTACATTGTATTATTTATAATTAAGTTAATTTTAAGTAATACTAGTAATACTATTTAACTTGAACTTATAACTTATAAACTTTATTTAAGTAATTATATTACATATTTATTTACTTAAAAAACAATTTTAGGATGTAACAAGGACATTTATTGTTTATAAGTTTACTTACATTATATCATTTATAATTAAGTTAATTTTAAGTAATACTAGTAATACTATTTAACTTGAACTTATAACTTATAAACTTTATTTAAGTAATTATATTACATATTTATTTACTTAAAAAACAATTTTAGGATGTAACAAGGACATTTATTGTTTATAAGTTTACTTACATTATATCATTTATAATTAAGTTAATTTTAAGTAATACTAGTAATACTATTTAACTTGAACTTATAACTTATAAACTTTATTTAAGTAATTACATTACATATTTATTTACTTAAAAAACAATTTTAGGATGTAACAAGGACATTTATTGTTTATAAGCTTACTTACATTGTATCATTTATAATTAAGTTAATTTTAAGTAATACTAGTAATACTATTTAACTTTAACTTATAAACTTTATTTAAGTAATTATATTACATATTTATTTACTTAAAAAACAATTTTAGGATGTTAACTTAATTATAAGTTAAAGTTAAAGTTATTGTTTATAAGTTTACTTACATTGTATCATTTATAATTAAGTTAATTTTAAGTAATACTAGTAATACTATTTAACTTTAACTTATAAACTTTATTTAAGTAATTATATTACATATTTATTTACTTAAAAAACAATTTTAGGATGTTAACTTAATTATAAGTTAAAGTTAAAGTTATTGTTTATAAGTTTACTTACATTGTATCATTTATAATTAAGTTAATTTTAAGTAATACTATTATATTACATATTTGTTTGTTTATTTAAAAAAAACAAATTTTAGGATGTGACAACAACATTTTTTGTCGTTATGGCAATTTATTTTCCAAGTGTTACTGGTATTATGACAGGTGCAAATATGAGTGGTTGGTATATTATTTATTATTGTTTATTGTTTATTAAATCATTTGTTTACTAACAAAATAGTTTACTGTTTTTTTTCTTAAGTAAAAATATTTATTTAAATATTGTTTTCTTTTTTTTTTTTAATTTAAATTAATATTTATTAAAATTTTTTTTAATTTAAATTAATAGCATTTTGTTGTTTGAAAATATTTTTTTTAAATTAATAGCATTTATTTGAATTAATAAATTAATTATTTTGAATTAATAGCATAAAATTAATTAGGCAAATTTTTAGAGAATTCTTGCTGAACATTTTAAAATTAATATTGTATTAGTAAAAAGTTTAAATAATATTCATTAATTAATGATAAGAAATACTAACGCCATTTAAACTATAAAATTTAAATTGTCATATTTATTTATTTATTTGTTTATTTATTTATTTATTTATTTTTTTTTTGCAGGTGATTTAAAAGATCCACAAAAAAGTATACCTCAGGGAACAATTGCTGCACAATTAACAACATCAACAATATACTTTTTCCTTATCTTAGCTTTTGGTTCAACAATTTCAGGTAAACAAAATTTTATTTTATCAATTTCAGTATTATCAATTTCATTTAGCTTTTTTTTTTAATTTCTTAAAATACTACATTTTATAATTTTATTTTATCAATTTCATTTAGCTTTTTCAATTTTAATATTATCAATTTCAGTATCATCAATTTCATTTAGCCTTTTCAATTTTAATATTATCAATTTCAGTATTATCAATTTCATTTAGCTTTTTCAATTTTAATATTATCAATTCCGATATTATCAATTTCATTTAGCTTTTTTTTTTTTAATTTCTTAAAATACTACATTTTATAATTTTATTTTATCAATTTCATTTAGCTTTTTCAATTTCAATATTATCAATTCCGATATTATCAATTTCATTTAGCTTTTTCAATTTTAATATTATCAATTTTTTACCAATTTTAATATTAACAATTTTTTTTATCAATTTCAATATTATCAATTTTTTTTATCAATTTTAATATTATCAATTCCAGTATTATCAATTTCAACATTATCAATTTCATTTAGCTTTTTTTTTTTTAATTTCTTAAAATATTACATTTTTATAATTTTATTTTATCAATTTCATTTAGCTTTTTTTTTTTTAATTTCTTAAAATATTACATTTTTATAATTTTATTTTATCAATTTCATTTAGCTTTTTTTTTTTTAATTTCTTAAAATATTATATTTTTATAATTATATTTTATCAAATTTTAATCTCATTTTATTTTTTCGACATTTATATATTTAATATTTCATTAATGACATTTTCGTTTTTTTTTTTTGTTTTTAATTTTCTTACAAATTATATTTTTTTATAAATTTTATTTTCTTTCAATAAATTTCTAGGCCCAGTTTTACGTGATAAATATGGCCAAAGTATGATTGGTTCTGGCATGATAGTAGCTGAATTAGCTTGGCCATCATCATGGATTATTATGATTGGTGCATTTACATCATGTTTTGGTGCTGCACTACAATGTCTTTGCAGTAATTTACTTCATTTTATAGCAATAATAAATAAAATTCATTAATAATTTCTAAAATTTTATTTAAAAAATAAAAACCAAAAAAAAAATGTTTGTAAAATTTTGTTATTTATAGGTGCTTTGATATTTAGTAAAATTTGATTTAATATTTAGTAAAATTTAATTTAATATTTTGTGAAATTTTAATTTGATATTTAGTAAAATTTGACCTGATATTTAGTAAAATTTGATTTAATCTTTACTAAAATGTGATATTTAATAAAATTTGATTTGATATTTAGTAAAATTTGTTATTTAGTAAAATTCGATTTAATATTTAGTAAAATTTTAATTTGATATTTAATAAAACTTGATTTGATATTTAGTAAAATTCGATTTAATCTTTAACAAAATTTGATTCCATATTCAGTACAACTTGATATTTAGTAAAATTTGATTTAATCTTTACTAAAATTTGATATTTAATAAAATCTGATTTAATATTTAGTAAAATTTGGTTTGATATTTAGTAAAATTTGATTTAATCTTTACTAAAATTTGATATTTAATAAAATTTGATTTAATATTTAGTAAAATTTGATATTTACTAAAATTTGATTTAATATTTAGTAAAATTTGACCTGATATTTAGTAAAATTTGATTTAATCTTTACTAAAATTTGATATTTAATAAAATTTGATTTAATATTTAGTAAAATTTGTTATTTATAGGTGCTCCACGTTTATTACAATCAATAGCAAAAGATGATGTTTTACCATTTTTGCGATCATTTCAAGTACTAACACAATGGAATGAACCATTTCGATGGTATGTAAATAAAAAAAAAAAAACTTTTTTTAGTTAAAAAAAAAAGCAAAAAATTATCATATCATATCAGTTACAATGATATATAATATAACAATGATTATTAAATAGAAAAATTTTTAAATAATTAATTTGAATTAATCGATATATTATAATACCTTATCAGTTACAATGATATATAATACTATCATAGTTATTAAATGGAAAATTTTAAATAATTAATTTGAATTAATTGACGTATTAATTATCATATCTTATCAGTTATAATGATATATAATACTATCATAGTTATTAAATAGAAAATTTTAAATAATTAATTTGAATTAATCGATGTATTATAATATCTTATCAGTTACAATGATATATAATACTATCATAATTATCAAATAGAAAATTTTTTAAGCAATTAATTTGAATTAATCGATATATTATCATATCTTATCAGTTATAATGATATATAATACTATCATAGTTATTAAATGGAAAATTTTAAATAATTAATTTGAATTAATTGACGTATTAATTATCATATCTTATCAGTTATAATGATATATAATACTATCATAGTTATTAAATAGAAAATTTTAAATAATTAATTTGAATTAATCGATGTATTATAATATCTTATCAGTTACAATGATATATAATACTATCATAATTATCAAATAGAAAATTTTTTAAGCAATTAATTTGAATTAATCGATATATTATCATATCTTATCAGTTATAATGATATATAATACTATCATAGTTATTAAATGGAAAATTTTAAATAATTAATTTGAATTAATTGACGTATTAATTATCATATCTTATCAGTTATAATGATATATAATACTATCATAGTTATTAAATAGAAAATTTTAAATAATTAATTTGAATTAATCGATGTATTATAATATCTTATCAGTTACAATGATATATAATACTATCATAATTATCAAATAGAAAATTTTTTAAGCAATTAATTTGAATTAATCGATATATTATCATATCTTATCAGTTATAATGATATATAATACTATCATAGTTATTAAATGGAAAATTTTAAATAATTAATTTGAATTAATCGATGTATTATAATATCTTATCAGTTACAATGATATATAATACTATCATAATTATCAAATAGAAAATTTTTTAAGCAATTAATTTGAATTAATCGATATATTATCATATCTTATCAGTTATAATGATATATAATACTATCATAGTTATTAAATGGAAAATTTTAAATAATTAATTTGAATTAATTGACGTATTAATTATCATATCTTATCAGTTATAATGATATATAATACTATCATAGTTATTAAATGGAAAATTTTAAATAATTAATTTGAATTAATTGACGTATTAATTATCATATCTTATCAGTTATAATGATATATAATACTATCATAGTTATTAAATGGAAAATTTTAAATAATTAATTTGAATTAATTGACGTATTAATTATCATATCTTATCAGTTATAATGATATATAATACTATCATAGTTATTAAATAGAAAATTTTAAATAATTAATTTGAATTAATCGATGTATTATCATATCTTATCAGTTATAATGATATATAATATTAGGTGGGAAATTTGAATTAATTGACATATTAATTATCATGTCTTATCAGTTATAATGGTATATAATACTATCATAATTATTAAATAGAAAATTTCAAATAATTAATTTGAATTGACTGACATATTAATTATCACATCTTATCAGTTGCAGTGATATATAATATTACCATAACTATTAAACAGAAAATTTCAAATAATTAATTTGAATTGACTGACATATTAATTATCATATCTTATCAGTTATAATGATATACAATATTGTCAATAATTAATGATTTTTGAAGTAATTAATTTGAATTAATTGACATATTAATTACTATATCTGATCAGCTACAATGATATACAATATTGTCAATAATTATTAAGTAGAAAATTTTTGAAGTAATTAATTTGAATTAATTGACATATTAATTACTATATCTTATCAGCTACAATGATACATAATATTGTCAATAATTATTAAGTAGAAAATTTTTGAATTAATTTGAATTAATTGACATATTAATTATTATATCTTATCAGCTACAATGATATACAATATTGTCAATAATTAATGATTTTTGAAGTAATTAATTTGATATCTTATCAGCTACAATGATATACAATATTGTCAATAATTAATGATTTTTGAAGTAATTAATTTGAATTAATTGAATAATTGAATACTTTTTTGCAGTTTAATTTTAACAGTATTAATAGCAGAATTGATCATATTAGTGGCGGCATTAGATCGAATTGCGCCAATTGTTGATTTTTTCTTTTTAATGTGTTATGCATTCATTAATCTTGCATGCTTTTTGCATTCCATTCTTGGTGCACCAAATTGGCGACCTCGTTTCAAATGCTATCATTGGTAAAATTTCATAAAAATTTGTTTAAAAAAAAAAAAAATTTATAAATTATAAAAATATTTGTTTATTTCTAAAAATCTATTCATTAATTAATGAAGACAAATTATTCTAACATTTGGTAATTTCATAAAAATTTGTTAAAAAAAAAAAAAAAATTTATAAATTATAAGAAATATTTGTTTATTTATAAAAATCTATTCATTAATTAATGAAGAGAAATTATTCTAACATTTGGTAATTTCATAAAAATTTGTTAAAAAAAAAAAAAAATTTATAAATTATAAGAAATATTTGTTTATTTATAAAAATCTATTCATTAATTAATGAAGAGAAATTATTCTAACATTTGGTATACATTTTAATATTTACAATAAATAAAAAAATTTTTTTTTTTTAAATTTAAAATTTAAAAAAAAAAAAAAAAAAAACGAACTTATTTTTTTAGGACATTATCATTACTTGGAACATTATTATGCTTATTTATAATGTTCTCAACTCATTGGATTTATGCTCTGATTGTCACATTACTTTGTGGTATGATCTATAAGTATGTGTCATGGAAAGGGTATAATTTTTATAAATTAATAAAAGTTTAAAATCAAATTTGGAGAGAAAAAAAAAAGAAAGAAAGAAAGAAGTTAATAACATTTAGAAAATTATCATCATATCACTGCTGAACATTAATTTTATGCACAAATTTTGTTTAAAATACTTTTTTAAATTAGTAAAAAGTTACTTTCTAAAGCAAAAATAATGATTGTTTAGTTTAAAAAAGTAATTTCACTTTTTTTTTCATTACAATTTTAGGCTTTAAATTTATGCAAAAAATGTATTCATATTATATGATAACATTATCAAATTAATGATAAGGAATATCATTTCATTTACAATTTAATTTTCAGTGATAAGAAAGAATGGGGTGATGGTATGACAGGACTTAAAAATACTTTTTTAAATTAGTAAAAAGTTACTTTCTAAAGCAAAAATAATGATTGCTTAGTTTAAAAAAGTAATTTCACTTTTTTTTTCATTACAATTTTAGGCTTTAAATTTATGCAAAAATGTATTCATATTATATGATAACATTATCAAATTAATGATAAGGAATATCTTCTTATTTAGAATTTAATTTTCAGTGATAAGAAAGAATGGGGTGATGGTATGACAGGACTTAAAAATACTTTTTTAAATTAGTAAAAAGTTACTTTCTAAAGCAAAAATAATGATTGCTTAGTTTAAAAAAGTAATTTCACTTTTTTTTTCATTACAATTTTAGGCTTTAAATTTATGCAAAAGTGTATTCATATTATATGATAACATTATCAAATTAATGATAAGGAATATCATTTCATTTACAATTTAATTTTCAGTGATAAGAAAGAATGGGGTGATGGTATGACAGGACTTAAAAATACTTTTTTAAATTAGTAAAAAGTTACTTTCTAAAGCAAAAATAATGATTGCTTAGTTTAAAAAAGTAATTTCACTTTTTTTTTCATTACAATTTTAGGCTTTAAATTTATGCAAAAATGTATTCATATTATATGATAGCATTATCAAATTAATGATAAGGAATATCATTTTATTTACAATTTAATTTTCAGTGATAAGAAAGAATGGGGTGATGGTATGACAGGACTTATACTTAGTACAGCTCAATTTTCACTTTCAAAATTAGATGATAAACAACCACATCCAAAAAATTGGCGACCACAATTATTGTTAATTGCAAATTTACCACTAGCTGAAAATTGGCGACAAAATGAAACCACCCGAAAATTACTTAGTCTTGCAAGTCAACTTAAAAAAGGTCGTGGTTTAACTATTGCTGTAGCTCTGCATAAAGGTCAATCTACTAATAAAAATGCTAAGGTAATAATTCAACTTTTTATTTCATTTCAATTAAATTTTATTTTTAAAATAAAATTGATAATAAAAAAGTTTGGATAATTAATTCATTTAAGTGATAAGAAAATATTTCGAGCATTTATTTTAATTGTTCTAACTAAGAAAAAAAAAAAAATGAAATCAAATTACATGGATGAATTTGCTAAAAAAAAACTCAATTTTTTTTAGTTTGAAAAATAAATTTATCAAAATTAAACTTAATGGATAGCTTAAAATGAATGATTAAATAATAAACAATTTTATCACATTATTATCAGTTATGATAATAATAAAGAGAGGAGATTTTTTTTTTTGCATTTTTTTTTTTTCGAGATAATTAAATCAATGAAAAATTCTAATCAAAAATGGGTGACAATAAATATGACAATGTGACAAATGACATTTCTGATACTATAATAATAATAATAATAATAATAATAATAATAATAATAATAATAATAATAATAATAATAATAATAATAATAATAATAATAATAATAATAATAATAATAATAATAATAATAATAATAATAATAATAATAATAATAATAATAATAATTAGATAATTGCGGCACAAATGAAAAAAGAGCTACTGGAAGAGATGACAAATGCAAAAGTTCATGGCTTCTGCTCATCACTTATATATGAAGCAGATCAATTGGAAGGTGCATTATCAACTCTTATACAAAGTTGTGGTATTGGACCATTACGTCCAAATACTTTGCTAATTCCGTATCCGGAAGAATTGCATGCGGAAAGTGTTTATTGGCATTTCTTACGTATGTTACCATTTTCTTATTTTATAAACAATTTAAAAAAAAAAAAAAAAAAAAAAACATTTATAAATTATGAAGTTGAAAAATACATTTTTAGTCTAAAAAAAAAAAAAAAAATTAAACTTTAATTTTGAAAAGATTAATTTTTAAATTATAGATCGCCTTCAACATGGTGCAATGCAAGATATGTGCTTACTTGTACTAAAAGGTATTCCATATTTTCCGGAAAATGAATACAGAATGGCTGGAAATATTGACATGTGGTGGATCCTTCATGATGGTGGCTTATTACTTCTTATTTCATTTTTACTCAAACAACATAAGGTATTAATTGCTTATTTGATTTTTATCATAAAAAATCATTCTTGAATTAACTCTCGATTTATTTCAATTATAAAAGAAAAAATTCATAATATAGTCTAGTTGTAAACAAATAATACTTTCATACTACTATTATCATTTTCAGGTTTGGCGCAATTGTCACCTAAGAATATTTGTTGTTGTTGGACATGATGATAATAAATCACAATTACGACATGATATGGAGAAATTTTTATACGAAATGCGCATCAATGCTAATTTATATGCATGTTTTTAATTTATTAAATTTTTTTTTTTTTTTTTTTTTGTAAATATTGCAAAATAGAATTAATTCAATGTCAAATATTTATTTGATTAAAAGTTAATTAGATGAAAATTAAAAAAAAAAAAAAAGAAAAATGAATAAAATTGAATAAATAGAAGAAATGAAGAAGAGAAAAATTCTTCACATAATAAACTATTTAAATAATTTCTTACTTAATAATAACTAGAATAAGTTATTACTCATTCAGTTAACTTATTCGTTTAATAAAATTATAACCTATTTGTTTACTTTTTCTTTTTATAAACAAATTTCAAAAAATCTTTTCATTCTTTAGAAATAATTGCAATGAATTTCAGAAGAGGAAATAAAAAAAAATTTTTTTTTTAAACTATTTTGTAAATTCATTTATTTTACAATTATTCACTTTAGCTAGAAGAATTTGCAACTCCAGATATATCAGCATATGAAATACAACGATCATTACAAAATGATACATCAAGTTTGTCGAGAAAAAAACGTTGTTCAATGGTATTATATTGCTTATCATAGAAATTTTTAAAATAATTTCATTCTGATTTTTTACCTCAACAAAAAAAAAAAAATTTTTAAAATAATTTCATTCTGATTTGTTGGTAACGAAAATATATTAGAATATAATACATTTAAATGTGTTTATATTGAAAATTTTAATTTATTCAAACAAACTATGCCATAAAGTGAACAGCTAATATTCGTTCACAAATTATAAATAATTTAATAATTGATTTTATGCTACCTATCAAAAATTTACAAATTTCGTATTTAGGATTATAATAATGCTCAAATAAGGTATGCTATGAAAAAATTTGAATAAAATTATTTTTGCTTTATTAAAATTAATTTTTGTTAAGCGAATATTTATTTCTATTTCTCTATCTCTCTATCTAATTAAAACTAATATTGTATTTTTCATCAGTTAAATTTGTAATTAATATCTATGATCATTAATTAAATCAATATGATGCACCAGGTGATAACATTAAATCATTAGAATAAAATACGGCAAAAATAGAAAGAAAAAAAAGAATGAAAGAATTAAAATTAATTAAAATTACATTTCTAGGTTCAAGTTATTCTTGATCAAAATCGAAAACAACGCGAAAATGACAAACAAAGTAAATTAATTTTAATTATTGATTTTATTGTCATTTGAAATCTTGCTATGTTTTCTCATTAAAAATACCTTTTTTCTTGAATTCAGAAAAAAAAAAAAAACTCTAATGTTCTCTTTCTTATTTTGTAGACAATGAACTTAAAGTTCTTTGTCAAACTATTCAAATGGAATCAGAAACCAAAAGAAATAAACAAACGGCAGATAATTTCAAAAGTAATTCGTATCCGACAGACCTTCCACAGCTCAATCCATTTCGAATGTTTGTTTTTTTTTCTTCATTTTCTTTTTATTGTTCCTAAAAAAAGAAATGATTTCCTATTGAAATTTCATTTCTCCTATAAAAAAAAAAAAAGAAAAGAAGAGAACAAAGAAATTTCATGAATGTTTTCAATTTTAATTTCCTCTACGATAGTAATTTAAGTGATTCTATACTAATAGTTTCATTAGTTTCAACTTTCAACTTTTTGAAACTTCAACTTTTGAGCTTTAATACATTTTATTTTTTCAGCGTACATTCAAATAATGATCTAGAAAATGACAAATGTGGAGGAAAATTTAAATGTGAGAGGAAGTTTACATTCAGTTCATTTGAATCAGAAGTAAGTAACACTATCAATCGAGAAGTATTAATTAAGTCATCCGATCAACTAAAGGAACATCTACCAAATGAGGTTTTTTTTTCTTTTTTTGAAAACTTTTCATGTTGAAGAACTTTCTTTTTTTTTCTCCTTGGAATTATTTAAAACAACATGAAAATTTAATTAATTCAATAATTAAAATTATAATTACATTCACAAATGCTCAGATTTTTATAAATCAATCGTATCATTCAACTTTTAGCGTGTAATACGTGAAGTTCATTCGGCTGTACGTTTGAATGGAAAAATATTCGAGAAGTCTAGTGCAAGTGCTCTGGTAGTACTAAATCTTCCAGAACCACCAAAAAAAGAATCTGCTCTTCCCAATTATATGGAATATTTGAATGTGCTAACGCATAACCTACGACGAGTTCTTTTGGTCCGAGGTAGTGGTTCCGAAGTAATCACCAAATATTCGTAATTTCGTTGTATAAATCTTTATACACGCTTCGTTATATTATAAAGAATTACAAAATTCAAATTGTTGATTTATGAAATTATTTTGCAATATTAATTTCTTTCTTTTTTTTTTTTTTTGAAATATTTGAAACAAAGAAGAGTGACATTAAAATTCCAATAATTTGATGCGATAAACTACTTTTTCTTTGAAAATATGACAACTGTAAATGATAAAGTGTCTGAGAAAATTAAAAAAAAAAAAGTTTACTTATCAATCGAAATTTATTCTTCTATGGTACTTCGCTTTTTTTTTCCTCATCTGAATGCAAATACAGTTAATATTGGATGACATCGACAATGTCGCTCTGAAAAAGAAGTCAAAGTAGTTCGTTGCTTCAAGAATTTCAACTATTTTAAATTTCGAAATTTCAAGTATCAAGATCTTTTTTTTTAAAACAACTTTTATGTTCAAACAATATTATCAACTACTAATACTTTAGAGTAGTAATCATCAGTTGTTTAGAGTTATACTGAAGATGTCAATAATAGGATAATTAGTCAAAAAACAAACACAATTCCTTACAGCATATTGTGATGACAAACAAATTTTCATAATTTTATTGGTTAAATAATTAAACCTATTTTAAGTAAATTAAATAAAAAGAAGTTATTTGCAAGATTTCAAAAACTTCATATTTCTTTGAATTTAAAGAAAAGGAGAGCAGAATTCTCTGCATGATTCCCAGAAAAGAGTGACAATCACAATTTGTTATACGACATTACCGCCATTCATCACACAATTTCCCATCATTACATTTCATAGTTTGTAGCATACGACAAAAATGCTACACTGTAATTTCCTATGCAACAGACGAAGGGTGGGAAATATAATGGTTTTTGGAGAGAGGTTGTTGTACGGTAGAATGTTGTACAATAGAATACAATATTTTGAGAGAATTTAGGGGTTGCTGAGATTTACGAGATAGTTTACAATTAGCGGATAATTATAGAATACTAGAGAACATGAAGGTAGTATATGACTCTAATTGAGAAGATGAAAAGATTGAGAGAGTGTTAGAAAGTCAACGGTGATTAATTATAACAGTGATTGAGAGTAATCTGATTACAAGTTTGTAGGAATAAATATAAATTAGTTAAATTAATGTATTTTTCTTCTTTTGGGAATAATTTTTAAAAAATTCTAAGTAAATATATGAAGAAATGCTATAAAGTTTTTATCCCTGTAATTAGTAAATAATATTTGATTCTGCTTGCTTTTATTTATGGATTGGATTATTTATGGATTGTAAGATTTCTGTTTAAATGATTTTGATTAGGGTAAATAAAATATTTGTATAAATAGCATTTGAGAAAGTTGGAAATGGAAGAAATTAAAAGTTATTTATGTCAGTACTTGACTAATTCCATCAATTCTTTGTGAGATAATATTAAGAAAAGTGTTGGGGTAATTTGCTATCAGAACAGCTTATAAATTTAAGTTAAGAAGTTAAAGAATCTCGAAAGAATAGTTTATAAATTTAATTTAATGAAACGAATTTCAAAACTGTTTACTACTTTAAAAAGTAGTTGTTTACTACTACTTTATTTAATTAAAACTCTTCAATATAGCTTATAATAGCTTAATGAAAAAATTTTTTTTCTGTTTTATATTGTTTTCTACATTAACATTTGTCGCTACCATCATGGTAAGAGATTGTACTACACTTTCATAATTTCACATCGTAATGTAATATGCTATTCTAACTTGATATGAATTTTGTTGACGTTATGAGTTTTTTTTTTTTTTGCAGAAATGTGGACGGCAAAAAATATTCTGACAGGTTTTCATCAACATTCATTATTTAGGGTAAATGCGACGTTCTTTCATACAACATCCTTAACTAGATGGCAAAGTGAGTAAGTTCAAGTTTAATATAACTTAATATTGCGGATTTGAATATAATTTTTGAGAATGACTTGAGTCCTTTCTTTAAAGTTTTTTCAAAAGGTTCTTTTTTCTTGTTTATCGACTTCATTTCACTTTAATGTTTTACTGTTTTCTCATCATCCTATTACATAGCTTATCGAAATAAACCTTCACAAATTCTCGGTATGTAATAGCTTGTGGATTTCTTAATTATTGAAGAAGGAAGAAAGAGATAGACTGAGGACTGATTCGTTATTTTATTTTATCCTTATTTTGAATGTCGTCTTTTATTTGCTTTATTTTTGTGAACACTATACTGCTGAATTTAGACTTCGAGAATGAAAGACATTTCGAACCTGGGGAAGATGTTTTGAAGCGGATGTGGTATGCTTTGAAGTATGATGTAAAACGATGGAAAAGGCGGTGGAAAGAAGTAATATTTTATATGGCATTGTTTTTCTTTTTTCTTATTGATTTAATTATTTTAAGTTGTTTTTCAGTTTATGTCACTAAAAGTGTAAACACATTTCTCGCAAGAACTAATGTTTCCCTTTTTTCAGCCGTCGTCATAACAGAATTGTTTTTACTTTCCTTTGTAACTTCTTTACTTCAGTTTTTGTTGACATATTATTAAATCGTAACAGCTTCTTATATAATCAGAAATGTATTTGTAAATTTCTATATTTGACAAATACATAAATTTAGGCCAGAATGGATCCTTATCAGAGGAATAATGCGATTGCACACATCAAACGACACACAATGGATCTCGAGTTGTTCCCATTCGAAACTCAGGTAATTAGATGCTAATTATGGTTATTATTTGCATTGTCTTTAGAGCATCTGTTTTGTTTTCAGAAGTTGGATTATTTGAGGAGAAATTTGCCTTGATATTAATAGAAGCTGATGAATCTTATTCATACTTAAACATGTTTCTGCGATAAAGTTCTGAGTGTAGTTGACGTATTTAAATTTTAAAATGAATACACTTAAATTATTTTATTCGATGTTTACCGTGAAGGATAAAGCATTCATATTCACAAACCTAAATTGATATTTTTTAGGTATTAATCATTGGAGGTGGATTGATAGGATCATCTGTTGCATACTGGTTAAAGCAAGCGTTTCGTGACGAAGACTACAAAGTGACAGTTGTAGAAAATAACGATAAGGCAATAGTTTCAAACTTTTATTTTTTAATCTCATTGATTTGTTAGCTTTTTCAATATAATGTAAAAGCGAGCATTTTCCAGCAAAACAGGATATCATGATGAATAACTAGACTGATATAAGAAAACTAAAAGAAAAATCTTTCCTAAATGTAATTTTATTTCAAACCGTAATGCGACATAAATTTTAGAGTTTTCGAATATTATCTTCAAACCATAACTGCTTTAAATAACATGATAAATCGTGTTATTAGTCTCTTTAATAGTTAAAGAATATGAAAGTTGGAAATTTATTTCTTTACCAAGTTTTTCTACCTCTTTTAAATGTGATGTTTAATTGCAGTTTGCGCAGTGCGCTTCAATGTTAACATGTGGTGGTATCTCACAGCAATTTTCAGTCCCTGAACATGTTACAATGTCAGCTTTTGCCGCTGAATATCTTCGTCATGCTGGCGAACATTTGCGTATTTTAGGTAAATTTACTCTAGAATTCTAGAATTTCAGTTAGTTCCTTCGAATAATTCTTGAATAATTCTTCCATAAGCATGAATAATTCTTCCATAAGCATAGTTAAATCATCGAATTATTTACTTACCTTTTTTGCTGTTGATATACTGAAATTAATTAGTGTTTTATAATTTATAATAAATGTTTTTAGACAACGATCCTCCTGATATAAATTTTTTACCGATGGGTTTCATGTATTTGGCTCGCACACCCGAAGAAGTGGATCGATTGAAGCGGAATTGGAAAGTGCAAACGTTGGTCTAATTGTTTAACTGGATTTAAATTATTGGAAATATTTTCATAACGACGACTGATCGGCTGAAATCAAAAGATTACTTAGTGGAACTGGAATTGTACCACTAAGTAAACTTCTGAATTAGATTCTTAGATTCATCCCATATTCATTTTGCATGCAGCATTCTTCTCGCCACTTTATCTTGCCTTAGAAATTTGAGCTAACTATATTTAATGTATTTCATAATTTCTTGATACCACAAATATGGATCAGATTTCAAAAATTATATAGCTAATTTGGTAGAATAGAACGTAATCAGTCTACAACTTATGACATTACTCATTTACATGTTAATAAAGTTTTATGAGATTTTTGAAAAAACTCATTATAGAGAAAAGTTCAACAAGAAGAAAAAAATTGAGGAAAGTATTGATAAAATTATTTCGGTAAATTTTTAGGCAAAATGGTGCCCGAATTGATTTGCTAAACCGTAATAAGTTATGTGCGAAATTTCCTTTTATCAATTTTGATGATGTATTACTCGGCTCATACGGTAAGTTTGCTTTTATTAGCTCATTCTGATGTTGAGCATGATAGAAAATAAGTATAATATATGAGATTTTATAGGTTTGGAAAATGAAGGTACAATCGATTCTTGGCAACTATTATCAGCTATACGGGAAAAGAATCTTACTTTGGGTGTGCAGTATCTTAAAGGAGAGGTGGAAGGTATGTAACAAATGCTTTTAGAACTTTCTAACTTTTGCGTATATGTATTTGGGAAGAAGCATTCGAGTCTTCATTATTCTAAATAGTGGTTATTTTTACAAAAAATTTTAAATAGGAAATTGCCAATGTTTTGCCTTAATCTCCAAAAGAGACAGATTGCCATATTGTCCATTTTTAAGTGTTTTTTTTTTTTTTTTAATTTTTAAGCGAACTAAAAACAACTGTTTGGTAATTGAGGGTACGCTATACTCAATAACAAATACTTTGTTTACTCCAGTAAAACTTGCAAATTCTCTCAAAGTTTTATCTTTTTAGTGTTTTATCTTACAGACACTGTTTGAATTTTTAAGTAATTCCTTTATTGCTTTTGCCTTTTCCTTTTCAAGTTAACAGAATACATGAAAAGTTAAGTGATCGGCATCCTGTGTTATATTTTATTCTGTATCATAAGATATCCAAATTGATTTTGTAGCGCTTATATTGCTAAATAGCTCCATATAAAATTAATATATTTTTGGTTTGCCTTCACTGATATATAGTTTGGATGAGTTTTTTTTTTTTTTTTTTTTTTTTTAATATGAATATTTAATTTTTAGGTTTTTATTTTGGCCAAAGATATGGTGCTACAGAAATATATGGTATTGCAGATGATGCTGATGAAGCAGTATGGCGTAATAAGCATATCCGCGGAGCTTTTGTAGGCATATAGATTTATTTTTTAAGTTTTTATTATATTTTATATATGTTCTTGCAGCAAAAAAAAAAAAAAAATTTACATATATATTTATAGATTCGGCCGCAAATGACAGATGCTTCTGCAAGAATCGTACGATCTAATCATATTGTTGTTGCTGCTGGTGCTTGGTCTGGTCGTATTGCCGAAATGGCAAGAATTGGTGAGATATTTGTTTTTACTCGTAAATGTAATATTTTTTTAATGCGAAGTTTTGAAGTTCAGTTAAGTGTGAAATTTGTAATTTAGAAGAAGAATTTTGAATTTTTTAGGGAAAGGACAAGATTTATTGGCTGTTAAAATACCGGTTGTTGCACGGAAGCGTATGATGTTTGTTGTACATGCACCTGATGTTCCTGCCTTAGATATGCCGGCTCTTGTGGATCCCAGTGGTGTTTATTGTTTGCTGGAAGAAGTTGGTAATACATTCATTTGTGGGAAAATCCCGAATAAGGTGAGAAATTTGAATGAATTGTGAAATGTATAAATTATTGTTCATTTTTTTGTATTTAGAACTATAATTTTTGTAGGAAGAAGATGAAAAAATGGACCACTCAAATTTGGAAGTAGATTACAACTACTTTTATAATGATATTTGGCCAACTCTAGTGAAAAGGATTCCAGCATTTAGAAATTTAAAAGTAAGTTTTATCGAGAAACACGACAGTTTTTATATTAATGAACCCTTTGATCACTAGCACAGTTAATACAAAGCATCAATGTGAAGCTGAATGAAATTCTGACTCTTTATTATCTCTAATATTGATTATCGTTTAATGAAGATAACTATCGAAATTTTAATCCTTATCTTACATTTTTTCTGTTTCAAAATAGAGACAGCTTTTTCTCGAGAAAAATGAGATATTCATTAATTATATTGTAATAATTAAGCTAAAACAAAAATATTTTTTCTCTATTACAAACAGAAAAATTATGCTTGACATTTTCAGATTAAAAATGCTTGGGCAGGTTATGAAGATGTGAATACATTTGATAATTCACCTGTTATCGGAGAGCATTTACTTTATCAAAATTTACATTTCTTATGCGGGTTTGGGAATCGTGGAATGCAGCATTCCTTAGCTGTCGGACGAAGTTATGCTGAAAAATTGCTGGAAGGTGCATATGTATCATTAAATTTACGAAAATTTGATATGAGACGATTGGTTAAAATGGAAAAATTAGAGGAAGAGTATGGTTAATTGAAACTTTATTATGCTATGCAGCATCGTAGTTGTCATTCTACATTTTTGCCTTTATTTGTACTTTTAGTTTTCTTTCTAGTTTTGTTGTTTTTTTATTTTTTGATACTGACAGTTACAATTCCAAGCAAACTTGTTTGTTTGATATTTGCGTAAATTTTATATAGAAAATATTCATATAAAGTTGTATTTCGTATGTTCTTAATTGTTCACGGGTGATTCCTTTATTTATTTAATGGTAAAAATTTGTGATTTTTGTAGAAAATATTAGCAATGTATTATCAATAAATATTTTCCCAAGCGTACATCATCGATATTTATTCAGAACAGTGATACTTCTTAATTTATACCATTACTCAAATACTTAATTTATACCATTACTCAAATAAATATTATGCAAATTTCTAAAATACTCAAAAATCAGTTTGTGCATACTGAGAAAATTTGATGTGTTTGGATTTGTTAGATTTCAGTATTATCAGTTCTTATTTTACTTTTTTTTAAGATCATAATTTATATAAAATTCACATATTCATTGTGGATTAGTGTGTAGCTTTCGATGTCTCTGTCTATTGAGCCGGAAAAAAAACGTATTCGAACGGATGATGGTGATCAAGTTGAGGAAGAAGAGAAGGAAGCTGTAAAAGAATTACCAAAAGGATGGGAGAAACGAATGAGTCGTTCAAATAGTTTGTTTATTATTACTTTTGAAAATTATGTTTTTTTTTTTTTTTTTTCATCAATTTATTCGTTTAAAATTGAGGAAATTAAAAGTTTTTCCGTTTTCAGATTTCTTTATTAAATTCATTTATGCAATTATTTTAGATCGGTTTTATTATTTCAATGTATACACTGGTCGTAGTCAATGGGAACGTCCCACAAAACCAGCTGATCCAGCACAAGCAAGCTTGAATGAGGTATATTTTGAAAAGTTTTCTTTTTTTTTCTTTTTCCCAGTAACTACTTAATGGTATTCATATGAGAAATTTAAAAGAATAAAAAAATGAAATCATGAATTTAAATAAATTTTTTGGATTATAGTTCTGTAGCATGATTTATTATCGAAAATTTATCAAATTAATTGATGTTTTTTGTATACATTTTATGGTCATTTTGTAGTAAAATTTTATTTTTAAAATAATCTCAAAATATTTTTTTAATTCATCAAAATGCATTTTCACTTAACTGAAGTGTAATATATATATGTTAATTATATTAATAGAAGTGATTTATAGGTACATTGCGCACATTTACTAGTAAAACATAGTGGTTCGAGACGTCCTTCATCGTGGCGCTCAGATGTTATTACACGATCAAAAGAAGATGCAAGGAAAATTTTGGCTGGTTCGACTCAATTTTTCTTTTTTACTCTTCCAAAGGGAAAAAAATTAGCTTTCTCTCATAATTCATAGCTTAGCTGTGAAAAATACGTAAATTTTATACGTAAATACGTATAAAATTCATACGTAAATTTAGCTTTTCGGATCAAATTATGTTTATGAGTTTTACATTTTGCAGGGAAATATTGGACAAAAGATGGATAAGAAATTAGACTAATTTTTCATCTATTATACGTTGTATTTGTTAATATTATCATATTTCATTTTTCTAATTTCTAACGAAAATTTTTTCCTTTAAAAAATAAAGTTTTTCTTTTTATTCTTTTTTTTTTTTTTCCTTGTAGGCTATAGAAAGCAAATTGAGGAGGCATCTGATAAAAAATCAAAATTGAGAGATTTGGCAAAGGAATTTAGCGATTGTTCCTCAGCAAAACGAGGTGGTGATTTGGGATTTTTTAAACGACGACAAATGCAGAAATCTTTTGAAGACGCCGCTTTTGCTCTTGGAGTAACTTTTTTAAAGAGATTTTAAAATTATCATCACGATAATGGGTAGTATGTAGTATGTTTAGAATGTTAGCATGAGAGTTAGCATATTTTAGAATAAAGATAAGAAAGACTAAATTAATATTAGTTTTTTTTTTTTTTTTCATGAAAAATATTCGCAATTTCACCACTGATAGAAGAGGAAAATGTTCATAGCCAAGAAAATTTTTGTGTAAAATTGAAAGATTAAATTTTTAATGTGAATTCTCAAACAATCATACTTACTTTATTATTATAATTTCATTTCATTTCATTTCTTCTTTTTTTTTTTTTCAGGTTGGACAATTGAGTGATATAGTTGACACTGATTCTGGCTTACATCTTATTTATCGAATTGCGTGATAAGCGATATATGTTTATCGCTTATCTTTATCATTAATCTTCTCAGCTTTTATAAATCTAAAGCTTTTTCTTTTTTTTTTTTTTATGCGGGTCTTAACTTCGCATTGCAGTTGTATGGTTTTATTGTACTTTTTTCATGCAATTAATTGCTCTCTCCTTTCATTTCTTTCAGGTTTTTCCTTTCCTGTTCTCTTTTTACTTTTCTGGGGTTGCAAAGTACAACAATGGTTATTATAAAAAAAAGAAAAATTTTATTTTGTTAGGAATGAAAATGAATGAAATAAAAACGTGTATTTTTAAAACTGGTTAAATTTATTGATCATAATGATTGATTGGTAATACTAGCGCTGATTCAATAAATGAAAACTTATTCAGGAGCCTATATTGCTCTATTTTCTGGAATTGCTTCCATTTCAATTCTGAAATTGTTTCCATTTCAGTTAATCGATAATTGTTGCAAAAATTTGATTGTTGTTGAATTTATCTATTCATTTATTTATTTATTTATATTTTTTGCAATTTATATTAATAATAGATAATGATTAGGGAGAGAGAAAGAAAAAAAAAACGGAAAAATGGATAGTTGCAGTTGGTTTTTTTTTTGATAATATATAAATGAAATTTGAAATTAATGGATAAGAGAAGCCATGTATTAATAAGATTGATGCTTCAATTGTTAGGAATTTAATATTTACAGTATTTTTTTTTATTTTTTATTTTTTATTTTTATTTTTTTCATTGTGCTACAAATACATTCATTAAAAAACTGATAAACTTTGAATAATCTGAGATGATTGTATGAATTTTATTGGCAATTTTGTCAATTATCATTTGTATTATTGGCTAAAGTGAAAAGAGAAATAAATGATTTCAAATCAGTTTTGATAATATTTTTAGTATACTTTTAAATAGCTGTCGCAACAGTTGATTATAATTTATTTTTTCTTAAACTAATTTTATATGAACGAATAACTTTTTTTTTTTTTGTATTCAAAAAAAAAAAAAGTAAGAATTACAGTGAATGCAATGTATTTTAAAAGTATTGCAAATATTTTATTTTTGCTAGAATGATTGAAATTTATAAGTTTCAAAAGTTTTGAAATTGAAATTGAATCAAATTTTCTACTTTAGTGTAATTATTAATGATTGTGAATAAATAAATTTACAGTTAATTGCATGATGTTATTAGCATTGTGCTGAAGTTTTTTTTTTTTTTGATCATTTTTAAATTTTTATTAATTGCTTGTTAATTATTTTCCATTTCATTTATTTCTTTTTTTCTTAGTTTGAAAATGAAGAAATTTGATTCAATTTCAATTTTCATATTAATTTCATTTTTTAAAATTTCAATTCCATATTAATTTCATTTTTTAAAATTTCAATTTCATATTAATTTCATTTTTTAAAACTTAATTTATAGTGATAAGCTGATGCTTTAATTTTTGCACTTTAATTTCTATTTTTTTTTTTTTTTTGTATTATTTCTATTATTATTTGTTGTATTTATTTAGGTTGACATTATTTATAGGTGACAAAGAAATAATGCCTGTGCCACAATATCAAGGTGTTTCTGGACATCCACAAATAACATGTTGGCAAAAGATGAAAATGGGCTTACTTATGGGAGTATTTATTGGTTGTGCATCAGGTGTTCTTATTGGTACTGCTAGTGCATTCAGGTTAGAATTTAAATTCGAATTTAAATTAATTGCTTAATGCTAAGTTAACTTCTTTTCTTATTACTTCATAAATTAAATACTTGCTTTTTTTTTTTTTTTAATTCTATTTGATCATAATTTGAATGCATACTTAAAGTATATTGTTGATGCTTATTGGAATGCTTACTTAAAAAAATCATAATTTGAATGCTTACTTAAAGTATATTGTTGATACTTATTGGAATAGTGTAATGAATTAATAAGTTTGTTGTTTTAAAAAAAGTTAAATTTTTGCAACATTAAAATTTTTAAAATATTTTACTTATAATAGCTAATAATAGTGATGATTTATGATAAATTGAAAACATAAAATTGATTTTTTAAAAAAAAAAAAGAAAAAAAAAAAAGGTGTCAATTATAAGCATATCATCTTAAATATCGATCGATGTAACTTAGATTTTATTATCAAATTAAATTGACTGATAATCGTAACTAACAATTAATCTAAGTTATGTTTTTCTTTTTATCACAAGGAAATAATTTTATGAGTATTTTTTAAGCATGGGTCTAAGAGGACGTGCAATGATAGCACAAGCTGGACGATATTCGACAAAAATGGGTAGTTCATTTGCGGTATTTATGATGATCGCACAAGGATTACGTTGCTAACAAAATGCTCTCTCTCTCTCTCTCTCTCTCTCCCTTCTTTTTTCAACAAAAAAAACACTATCAGTGATTAATGTTAGCAATTAGTGAAGAATTTTTTTTTGTTTTAAAATGATTTATTTTATATTTGTTTATGTATTACTAGGATTTGATTATCATTTAATAATGAATCTTACATAATTTTACTTTTTACTAATTTCTATCATATTTTATTATTTATTACTATTTACTAGTATGAATGATAAATTTTGTTTGTTTTTTTTTTGCCTCAAAAAATTAAAGTAAATTTATGATTCTTTTGAAACAAACATTTCTGCAATTTTAAATGTTTTAGTACATCTTTGATTCTTTTGGAACAAATTTTTTTTTTTTTTTTTGCATAATTCTATTGCTTAGATTGTAAATTTTTGTTTTTTTTTATTGACTTTTATGTTAAATTTTTTTTTTT